CCACATAGGAGGCACAATGACCTCCTTAAGATGAAGTGTTTCCTTTTGTAGCCCTCTCCAATGTGAGAGCACATTGGGTGCTGTGGCATTGCCTCTCCTGGAATCAAAGAAGTCTCTAATCTCTGATCGTTCTTTAGGTAGGCAGAACTGCATTAGGCTGCTTGAAAGAATTTGCCCACTTCCTTTGCATGCTGTGCCAGCCAGTTCTCCAGAGCCGTCAGAAAGATAGGGAAGTACATAAAGGCTGCTGCTCTAGTATTTTTCCCTGGATACTGTATCTGCCTGTTCTGAAGTCATGGGGACTCTGCAGTTAGGGCAAATGTAGCTTAGTTTTCTAGATACACTTGTAAGCTCTTGCATGTTTTCCAAGTTTATTTGACTGCACCAAACCCTATCAATATTTACATGTTCTAAAGCATAAACTTAATAGCACCTTAAGCTGAAGTAGTTTGGGTTTAGCAGCTAATTCTGGGCTTATTTGATGTGAGCGAAGTAATGTTGATATCTAATAAAGAAGGTAGTTGTGACAGTTGTAGCAGGAAAAGTGTAGGATCAGGATGATACAAATAGTTGTTACTGAGTGATTAGTATCCTTTATGTTTAGTCTTTTTAAATAGTGTTAATCCCTGTCATTTTGTAATGTATACCAAGATTGTAGATTCCTGATCTGTGCTGTTTGCAAGAGGCAGAGCTTTACGAGAAGAAGAAAAAACCTTGGCTCTTGATGCTCTGGAAATCTTCCAATGAGAGGAAATGCCTGAATTGCAAAAGGGGAACACAGTTGAACCTGTAAATGCAGAACACTGACTTGCAGTTGTATTTTCTCATAGCTTGGGTGCAGCACTTGGCATTCTCTCCTCTCCCTTAGGATATCAGACTAGAGTCATAGTTTTCTGCATTGAACAAGCACCATTTTTTGGGGACACAAAGAGTGGTGCCTTCAGATGGCAACACCAAAGGAATATTTCTGGAGTGCACTTTAAAGGAAAGCTGTGCCTGCTGTGCATCGGGAGTAGACGTTGAGTCATCAGGATGTGTTTGCATTTGTGTAGCTAATCAGAGCTGCGCCCTGACCAGAGCTTTAGCTGCTGGAGGCTCCTGGGTGCTCTGTGAACAATCTTGAGGCAAATGCCACTCTTCCTTTTGACATTTTAACAGTCTGTGGAATGCAGTGGGTGTCAGTGGGGAATAATCCAACTGGCACAGCACTGGATACAGAGGCTGCTTGTGTAAGTAATCAGGCACTTATGTGTTGTGAAATGTGGTGAATTAGAACATCAGTAAATATTTCTATAATATTTCTTGTAAATAGTGTTTTGTTAAGCTCTATTGAAATAGACTTAATGAATTGGAGGCTCTCACTCATCCAGCAGAAATCAAAGCCTGTGTAGGAATGTGCTTTCTATTGTCAATTAAAGCATATTCAGGTCTCATTTTGGAGTGGAGATACGGAATTTAGGAATTACAGGGAATTCTTCGGAATGTTGCATGTAGGCAAGTTTACCCCGTATAGTTTTGGGGCAAGATTTGTGTTTTCTAATTCAGATTCCTGACAATCTGCCTGTAGTTACTATGTTTTGTGTTCACTGCAGCCAGTATGGACTGGCACTCTAAGCAGGTTGGCATCTGATGAGGTGTCAGGAATGTTCCCTGCTCTTTTGAAGTGGAGTAGATATTTGGTAGAAGAGGTCCAGAGAAATTTGTGTCTCAGAGGGGCCAAAGAGGTCTGCAGTGCCCACAGAGTATCAGCCCTGCAGCAGTGATGCTTTGGGGGCTTGGGTCAGTGTTTCAGTGCAGGTGAGTACCAGACATCAGGGCATGACAGCAGCAGGTTTGCAAGAGGAAACTGATTAGGAGGAAATAGACTTGTGGTGGGCTCAGTGCAGAAAATTGCGCAGAGTGAGCTCTGTGTGCTTTGAGTTTTGTGTGGTTTGATTTTATGTATCGTGTTATCTATTACAACTCAATTACAAAATGGTTAGTGCATCCAGAAGTGAGTTTGTCTAGACTTTCTTGTCCCGTGCCATAGTCACTTACCTGTTTGGGTTAAGGAATAGAGGATGCTCAGATATGGTCCCTGCACATAGTCACATCACCTCCATGAGCTGCAGCTGTGCTGGTTTGATGTGTCACTGAGCACACCAACCCTATACTTAAAATATATCTATAATCTCCTTTTTAAAATAAGGCCTAGAAAGCAAACCCAGTTGGCCTGTTTTGGATACATTGATTGATCTTTAGCTTTCACCTTAATCAGCAAAGTTTAGAAATGTACTTTTTCACTGACAGCTTATATAACAATGTGAGTAATTAATTCTGGGACATGGGGCTTTCAGGAATGTCAAGTATTGCAAGACGTGGGAATACACTTCAAGAACTGGCAGTGCTGCACAGAGCACATGTCGCTGATTTGGATCCTTATTGCAGCTTGTAGTGGTTGGTGCTTGATAAAGGCATTGCCAAACCTCACATGACCACCTCAGCACCAGCCGTAGACCTCAGTGGCTGCTGAGGTTTGATGAAGGGTGGGATGATGATGATGATGATGATAATAGGCAGCTGAAGGTGGGGGACCAGGAGAATAATTACAGTTATGACTTACCCAGGCATTGATTTCAGGCTGTAGTAACATATACTACAGTGTAATGTGTACTTAACAGGCTGGCTGGAACTGTTGTTATTATTTGGGTCTGGTCATTTGTCATTGAAAGATCATTTTGGGGGTGTTTGAAATTAGTCAGGGATATTTGGGTTGTCAGAGTGCTCACTCAGCAGTCTTGGGTGGTCTGTGGTGTGTTTGTATTGGGTGGTGTGGTGGAAGGTGCAGGTAATGGGAATCTCTCCTGTGTCAGCAGAAGTGGTGAAATATAAAAGGGTGTGAAGTGGCTATAAGACATTGTTTTACTGTAAATGTTACACCAGATAATCTGCTCTCCGATCAAGTTTCTTCTTTCC